CTTAAACGAAGAGGGAATGCTTACAGTCTACTAAAGGCAGACTATACCTTTTTTCAAAGGTGCCGAAAATAACCTGTTGCGCCCACAATAAAAACTCTCATTAATCCTGGTGTTTTTAAATTTTCTTTTTTGTCATTTTCTCGTTATTTTTCATGTTTTTATTCATTTATTTATTTATTTATTTATTTATTTATTGCTGCTTGGTGCATACTGTCAACCACACAATGTTAGGGATTCTAAGTTTGCCGTTACAAAAGCATATGGGTTTAAATTATTAATTTTTTAATTTGCAGTATTCTTTTTCTCTTTCTTTCTTCCTTCCCTCCTTCCTTCTTTCCTTCCTTCCTTTTTTTCTTTCTTTCTTTCTTTCTTTCTTAAAAACAAGCGTCAGGTGAAGAAACGAGCCTCGATTAAAGAAACGAGGCTCGATTGGAAAATCGAGCCTCGATTACAAAATCGAGACTCGAGTGCGTAATCGAGCCTCGATTACAAAATCGAGACTTGATTGCGTAATCGAGCCTTGCATGTCGCGTAGTGGCAAAACAAGGTATCGTGGTCGTTTTAGATCGAGAGTTGGTCTGGTTTACCAGAAACCTTGAGTGATCCCATTCAAGTATATTTGAGTTCGAGCTTATCGATAAGTGAAAACGTTGTGCAAAATTCGTTCCGTGTTTTGTTTGATCTTGAACTGAGCGAAGCATTTGATCGAGGACAACTGCCAGGAAAGATGGCTACTCGAGAAGACTTAAAAGGTGAGCTTTTGTTCCGTTTTCTTCGTAGCTAAAAGCCCTGAATTTGCGAGTCAACCTGAAATTTGAGAGTAACCGGCTGTTCTTTCTGTTGTGACATACCATAGGATAGACATGTGATGCTACTCTGGTTTAAAGATTTAATGATGTAACTGACAAGTTGCAATTCGTGTAATCCAGGAAATGTAACTTTTCGGTTAAATCCTTCAATCTTTAAACCAGAGTAGCGTCAAACAACGTCTAATTGTTCACCTGGTTGTCTTGTGAACTTTAATATATAAGATGTTAATGCCGAATGCAATTTTTTAGTGAAATTTCAAAGTTGCGTAATAAGTGTTATGTTGTATTTAGTCGCTTTCACTTCTTTCCAATGCACGAGAGGATTGTTTGCTTAGCAACACTTGGGGGAATCATTAACGAGTGAGTTCATGAGGAATGAATGATTTCTAGCAGTTTTTGTCGATCAGTCGGCCAAGTTCAGGTCAGGTCAGGTCAGGTCAGGTCAGCAAATTCCTCAGGTGAAGGCCAGAAAGAAACCTGGCTGTTAGAGAAAGAAATCAAAGAAATGCGACGAGGACGAGGAATGACGTAGAGGTCAAAGAAACGGGCAAGGAATTAAGGTCACTTTCCATCTCCCAGAGTCCGACAAAACCGATTTTTCTTTTATTTGACTAAACTGAATTCAAACATTTAACCTAGCGTATCCAAATAAACTTTCTTAAATCTTAAAAAGGAGCCAAGTAATTGAAAAACGTTCTTTTCAAATAAAAATGAATAAATTAGGAAGGTGTCATAATCTCGGACCTGAACTAATCCCCTGAGGTAAATTTTCGCGGCAACCGGTCGTCTTGGGACTTGTTATTCACGCTATGCTCCTCAGCACATTTTCCGGTTTTTTTCATTTCTACCGCGGATTTTGTCGTCCTCCTTAACGCTCCACTCAGCGATCGAGATAAAAAAAAGGCATGCGCCGGTTTCGTTACTCAACTGATACTCCCAACTGCGTGATTGCCGTTTTTAGAAGTCAGTTAAAGTGATCATATGCAGATTGCCGTCTAGTTTGCTTTTAACCGCCTCGTCGATTTTTTTGATTAGCAGGTAATTTAGTGTTAACAACTGGGTTGAAAACGTAAATTAGCCACCGTAAAGGGTAAAAAAGCTGACGTTTCGAGCGTTAGCCCTTCGTCAGAGCGATATTGTTGCGAGGTTGCGTTCCACAAGTAAACCTGATTGTAGGATGGAACGTATTGGTGAAGTCAACAAAGTTTTAAGCTTCTTTCATAGAGATGTCAATGTTCTTCAGAGGAAAGATTTCATTAAGAAATCTCTTACAGACCAAAAGTTAGAGGTGCTAGCCGTTTTCTTCAGTTTGCTACGGTGAAATCTCGCAAAATTTTCACAATTTGTGAAATTTGTCCAGCCGATCATCTAAAAGCCGACAAAAAAAATAGGTGTTACATCGGCAATTTCCTGTGGATATGTGGAGCCAAAAGGTCATGGATTTGCACGCATACGTGTAGTGCTTTTGAACATACTTGCCTTTTCGCTGAGTTTTGTGACTTAACAGTCACCACCACCCGACGAAAATCATTAATCATAAGCATATAACGATCAGATTAAACGAATTCATTCTTTTTAAAACAGGTGGACAATCACAAACGGGCCGTTTAGATTTGGTGACCTCTACCTCTAAATAGAGGTGAAAGCGATAGGGAGACAAAGGAGGGGGAGCGGTTATAACTGGCATCTTTATATTTCTCAAGAGAAAACGAAGCTATCTACGTAATTTAATAATAGCCATCTGAACTAGTGTAAACTTGGCGTGTTTCAGGCGTTCACGGAGCGAATTAATAAACGGCGCGATAGTAGAGTGAAAAAACGAATGGGCCTGGGTCGGGCGTGTGAAGGACAGAATAACGCGGACAAAACACACAAACATCCTCAAGCTATGTCTTGATATCGTGGTTTTATTTTTTTTTTTTTTTCAGATCACTATGGTTCTGTGGCAGACAAGTTCGATTACTTCTTTAAAGAATTTCATGAAGCAAATATTCCAATTCTGATAGAATGTTTGGACTTGCAGCCACATCACATTATAGCTGACATTGGCAGTGGGACGGGGATCATCGCCGAAAAACTCTATGAAAAGTGCGGACTGACCAAACCAATTTGGTGCGTGGATCCCAGCGTAGAAATGCAAGAAAAAGCGTGGAAGCGAGAAGGAACCTACCCAGTTCTGAAAACTGCTGAAGAATTTTTTTCTCATCCCGAAATCGCCCATTGCTTTGATAGAGTGATATCTATTGGCGCCGCGCACCATTTCGCAGATCCTGTCGCCGTCTACAAAAGCATCTTTCACTCTTTGCGCCCCGGAGGCATATTTATCGAAGTGACCACAATGGACACAGGTTATCCATGTTTCAAAAGTGCGAAAAAAGTCGAGAAAGCAGCGGTGGAGATTGGCATTCAAAAGCGAAAACTTATCCGAAAGCTCGTTGCAGATCCAAACGTACGTGTATCAGAGAAGGAGTATTGCTGCCCGATGTCTCTGACAAAATCCAAGTTGTATGAGATGTACCGACGTCGATACATGAGCATGCTTCATCAGTTGAATGATGAACAGATTGCAGAAGGAATCAGGGAGCTTGAGGATGGGCCGTTGACGGATGTTAAGAGTCATGATCACATCAGCTTTACTCAAGTCATCCACGTAACAAAATTTGACCTGAACTGACTGAGTATGAAGGAGAAAAGTTGTGCCCCTTTGCAGGAGTATTCCTTGCGTTGTGAGTTTGCCCTCATATTTACTAAATAGTACCAATGTTCAAACATGGCTATTAAAAAAAATTGTTTCCCATTTTAACGAAAATCTTAGTTCGATACTGATCCAACGAGTTTGAATGTGTTATCATAATAGATGTTTCAACATTATTGACCCGGTCGAACGAGTGGCTGTATTTACAAAATGTTGTCATAAAATTTTCATTTTTCGAAAATGGCTCCATAGAAGACAAAGTTTTTTCACCGTCAAACCGATATCCAGCCCCGACCCTGATTATTGATTTCCAACCAGCAGACAAAACTAGAATTGCCTCGATGAAACCAAAGGATAGAATTTTGTCATAACAAATTTTTGTCGCGTCAGTTGCATCCGTATTAAAAATTTCAAGTTGTCAAATCCTGATCTACTCATAAGAGTTGCCGGCATAGTTTGCCAGGATTCATCTTAGATCGTTTTAAAGTTTAATAATCCACAAGTTTCTCACAAAGTTGGATCGAGTGGTTACAAGATTGCTTCTTGCCTCGATCGATGAAACAAAATTCCGCTGAAAAAAGGGGCTAGAGTCGATCAAGATGCAAATTTAAGTTGGACAGATGACGAACTTGAAACTACTGCTCGGAGTCGTTTGTGAATATTCCTCCCAAAAGGATTACGAAGTTTTATAATTAGAACAGGAGAGTTTCAAAAGCAAATACCAAGAGGAAATAGTTCGTCACGTCATATGAACAGAATGGATTGCCACAAGATCTTAGCCTGTTCACCTGAGAAAGGATGGCAAACTCTAAAGATCGCAGGCGGAAAAGTACCCAAATTCGTTCTTCAAATCACTTTCACTGATAAGCTTTCCGGATTCAAAAGCTTCCGGAGCCACAAAGTTTCAACGCTAAATTTCGGATTTAAAATTTCCGCCGACACGAATTGAGAGGGAGTTTTAATTTCGGATTTATTTACTTGTGTGTAAACGGCAAAACCAAACCCGTACGGATTCTTTAAGAATCGGAACAATTTCTACGAGTGTAAACTTAGTGTGAATATAATTGTTTGGTATTAAAGTATAAAAAGACCATTCATGTTTTGGCGGCGGGAAGTCTGGATACTACACTAGGACCCAGACCATCACTTCGAGACTAACATCACTAGGCCTTAACATCTCTGTAACATTTGCTTACAGTCCCTGCTCAAAAATTCTTTTCAAACTTATATTCCATTTTTTTATATTTATATTGTTTTATACATATAAAACATCGACAGCTCGGCAATAAGTTTTCAGAAATTCAAAACCTTCTATGTGATAAATATTCTTGCTGACTCCAACAAGCCTGTTTGGATGTTCTTCAGAGCTATTCCAGCACCGCTTATTCGGTTCGTAAGAAAGGGTTCACGAAGCACCAGTTATCGTAGCCTGCGACCAAACTCCAGGTCTCCACGGGGCTCCCGGGGTTGGAGGTGGGATGTAAAGGAGGAACCTCGCCTTTCGGCACCCTCATCCCGCGATCGCCCGAGAGACCTTGATGGTGGGTTACAATCATCGCAGGAATAGTTCACAATCTCCTTGAAACAAAATATCCCTCCCTGCATCATTTTCTCACCGATTCTGGTGTCGTCACGCGTCAAGACTCGCTACATCAATGCAAAAATCTTCCTCGCGTTGTCAGGGGAGGTCTACAAAATGCCGCAAGTACTTCGCCCACGTCAACGGGTGTGTCAGGTGTGGCATTCACAATAAAATAAATAAAACGTCGCTCTGTCAGATATCATGACTATGTAGTGCGAATACGGACCCATACGGTGAAAATTGTGTTATAACTTCTGTAGTCGTGAAAACGCTCTTTCTTAAGAGCAAGAAACTCGGTTTAGAGGGGCAGTTCAGACAAAGTGACGTAAGCGACGATCGATAATTGATCAAACTGATAAATCGATAAATGACGTTTCCTAAAGCACCAGTGTGTTATGCTAAATTACGATCTGTTTCCGACTACAAAGAGTTATTTCGTGACAGTAATTTGATCCTGTGGGTTTAGATTTTTCGACATCAGGGTTGAAACGTCAAAAGCATCCATTCATCTCTAAATCACTCTGAGAATGTGCTGATCTTCAACGTACTACGCGTCACTGAAGATTCAAGAGCTGCTTTAAACACCTCGATGTGACAACTGTTCTTTAGTACATGGTTACCGTTTTCACAATTGATGGCGATTTGGATGGAATCGAACGTGAATTGGCTTTGGAGTGTATTCGTGCGTGCCCTGTTAATTATTTCTTTTTGGAACATTTTACGAACAAGCGCGCAAGGTAAGAGATGTATCCTTCACTCAACTTACGTTTTTTATTAGATTAACAATGTGGTTTTCTAGAGGCCTTTCTGTCTCTGCCTGAACGACGAGCATAGGAGTAAAATTGACTTGTCTTTTACAGTCGTGACTTCGTTATCGCTCGCTGCATCCAGACTTTAGCCGTATGTGGTCGCGGTATTAGCTACTGGTATTTTCTGAATTGGGAAAATATTTAAATACCGCTTAAAATCAACAGGATATCTGCTCAGAGGCGTGACACGAAATATTCAGTACAAAGGAGTGAAAGCGCGATTCGGTTTATTTTTAGTCAAGTAACAACATTTAATTACTCCAGAGATCGGGAAGGAAATATGTCTCGTGTAAACTAATCAGAATGAAACTGAAACAGGAGAGGAAATAAAAACGTAACGTTAAGAATTCCTCTAAGTTTGCATTGCTTGAGAACACTGAACCTATAAACATCACTTGCAATTAAAATTTATTTGCAAATGTTTCTAATTTAACTTACAGGCGAGTTTTTTTCTTAATCAAACCTCTCTTCAACGATGAAATAAGCAGATAACATGCCGCAGATAAATGATTGCGCTGAATACAGACAAAAAAAATTCAACTCATCAGTAAAACAAAAATTCGAAGATTTTAGGGGGTACGATGATTTACCCACACAGATAACTCCAGAAATTTTGAATGATATCCAACTTTAATTTACGGAACACTGACGGTCATTTTACTCAAACAACAAAGACACTTGAAAGCCTTTATCCCACAAATTGCACTATGGCTTGCAAAGAGGAAATTTTAATTTCCGGTGAACCTTTTTTAATCTCTGCTAAAAATTCTTTGGAACTTGCAATAATACTAAGGTGCTGATATTGTGTAGTTGTCATGCAGTATACTCCATCATGATTTTCTTATCTTTTGACATGGTTTGGTCAGCGGAAATCGTTTGACAGAGCTGCAAAGAGGGCCAAGCAAGATTAGCAGAACTGTCAAGTTTGAGAGTAATATGTTAAAAAGTAAAGAAATTAAGACCTTGTGAAGTCGCGACATTTTAGAGACATCCGTATTTAGGGGGGCATAAACTTGCCCCCCACCGTTTAAATGTCTGTAAAATTTCGAGAATTCGTCGAACCATGGCACTGGAAAAACATGCCAATTTTGCTAATCTTGTGGCGCTTTTAATTTTTAGCAGTGTCGATGGATTTCCGCCAGGACAGGCACTTCGTTTATTTGTGGTCCAATTTAAAGCGTTAAAAACGCATTAAGAGTTAGGGGTTTGGCACTAAACAACAAAAGAGACTCAATTTTAGGTGATTATATTGAACGCTACTCTCATTTGAGAAGCATGTTACTGACAGGAAATTGAGCTATGATAGAATAATGAGTTTTTTAATTGTAAATATCTGTTTCACAAGCTTTTGGCTCGGCGACCCTTGGCTTTTTTTCAACGGCTAACCAGGTGAGGCTAAGGGAAGTCTGATAACGATAAGAATGGATATAAAATAAATCATGTCACAAATTTACAACGTTTCAATGTCGTGAAGATATCATTATCGAGGGAAAATTGAAAAAAAGGAAAAGCCAGGAAGTTAATATATGCATGCATCAAGTAGAGTGTCGAATAACCTTACACTCGAAATAAATATATCTCATTAGACACTTTGGTGTGTGGTATCGCTTAGTATTTTTGTGAGTTGTGCCATATTTCGACGAGCCCGCAGGGCGAGTCAAAATACAGTCATGCTACACACCAAAGCGTCTAATAAGATGTATTTACTTGAAAATGATATCATAACACTGTCAAAATGTTTTGCCTTTCTAGGAAGTTTTAATCTTAAACCGTTTACTGAATATACCCTGATAAGAATGGATTTGTTCCAAAAACACGATAATTCACATCTGATCTTTGTCTGGAACGTGACGCATTTTCCTCGCAAAGGGACTGTAAATGGGGAAAAGTAGGAAATAAAATAACTGAAAAAAAAAAAAATATATATATATATAGCTTAGAAGAGATTGTACTCGTGCCCACTGAACAAAGTCACGAAACCGCTTGTTTGGATCGACGCCAATGATATCAGGTTTGAATGACGCTTTAACATAAGCGAAGTAGCATTGCTGAACGAACAGGTCACAAAAACTAGCTAGATATTTGTTTAATCTTTGTCAATGCTGGTGCAAATGTCGAAATACAGATACGATGCTGAAAAATGAAAATATTAATAAGTGCATAATAAGCCGAAAACAATGAAGAGAAACGTGAACAAAACTAAATACTGCTTACATTCGTGTTAGCTTGAGTTTTCTCAATGTCCAGATGTAATCTGAACAAGATCTAAACTTTTAAGAGATCAACCTTCATGTGATCGTAATTTTGCTCTTGAAAGACTGTAATTTGCCCTGCAAGAATAATGCTTTAAAGGCGAATTTTGATGGAGTGTTGAGAAGCCCCACATCAAAGTAACCAGAGTGGTCGATTATAACAAAAAGGAAACATTTCAGGAAGCCAATGAGAATCAAAGTAGAAAAGAAAACTTACTAAAGGGTAGGAATGCGTTAGAACCAAGCGCTTGATTTTTATTCATTAGAAGTCTGATTATTCGAGAGGTTATGAGATTTTCAAAACAATCACAAAGAGAAGAAAGGTAAAGCCAATGA